GATGGGTTTGGGCAAGGCATGTGCTCCACCCTTGTGTCTCGGTGCGCTGTGGTGAACTGATGAGCGCACACAGACCCTGCAGACGATCGCGTTCCACGCATTCTTGCGCGAGCGCACCGTTGCGCCTTTCTTGGTGGTCTGTCCGCTGAGCGTGTTAAACAACTGGGTGGAGGAATTTCGTAGGTTTGCGCCTGAGGTGCGCGTGCCCTTCTCTGTGCGCAAGATTCTAAGTTGCCTGATGCACTCATTCGTGGTCACACGCGCGTTGCAGATTCCCGTCGTCATGTATCACGGGTCCCCTGACGAGCGCGTGGAGCTGCGGCGCACTAGGATGGTTTTCTCGGAAGAGGACATGAAGTACCAGAACAGAATGTTTGGACGAGACGGGACGATGCCGCCTGCGCCTGCGTCGGCTCCGCGGGGTAGGAAGAAAGCTGCCAGAGGTAAGGCTGTAAAGGCGAGGACTACCAGGGGCGCTGTCCGCACAAGACCGCGACCAGACAGTGACGGTGATGATGATCAATCCGCCACATGCAGAAAGGGCGGTAGACGAGATCAGACCGTTGATTCGAATGATGAAGTAGAAGCGGAACCGAAGCGACAGGCGAGGCGAAGCATGCAGGGGCGACGTGGAGCAGTCTCTACTGAGCAGAAGGACGAGGAGCCCAGTAAGGGTAAGCCCAAGCTCCCGTCAAACCAGCATACGAATTTCCCCGTGGTGATCACGACGTATGAGATGTTGATGAAGGATCGCGTGCATCTTGCTGAATACTACTGGGGCTTCATTGTCGTGGACGAAGGCCACCGGCTCAAGAACATGGATTGCAAACTCATGCGAGACATCAAAAGACTTAATTCGGCTGCCCGAATGGTATTGACGGGCACCCCATTGCATGTGCGTGGTATCAATCATAGATTCCACATGTATGGTCAAGCTCATTTCCCGTGTGACATCGTAGAATAACCTCGCTGAATTGTGGGCATTGCTCAATTTTGTGCTGCCGGACGTGTTTTCTGATCTCGAGGCCTTTGAAGAATGGTGAGTTCTCTGCCCCATCTGATCCAGGGCGCAATCGCTCATTATTTGGCGACAGGTTCAATTTACCGGTGCTGCAGGCTACGCTCTCGGCGTCGCGCTCCTCCCAGCTGATCCACTCGCTCCACTCCATCTTGCGTCCATTCTTGCTCCGAAGGCTCAAAGTCGATGTGGAGACGAACCTCCCGCCAAAGAAGGAATATGTACTCTATGCCCCGCTGAGCGAGCGCCAGCGCGAAGTATATGACGCTATTGTCAACGGAGGTCTCCGGGCTCTGCTAGTGAAGGAGGGGCAGGAGAAAGAGAAGAAAGAGAAAGCGTCCGTCGTCGAACTTGATGGCGATAGTGAGGAGGAAGTGTCCCTTAAAGCGAAGCTTGAAGGTGGGAAGAAAAACGGACGAATGAGTACTAGGCGCTCCAAGAGGAAAGATTATGCTGTTGATGGGGATGACGACGAGTATTTTGCCAAACTAGAGTCTGGGCAGCTCGAGGCTCAGAGACAGAAAGAGAGGGAGGAGAAGGCGGAAGACCTTGGCCGCGACTGGCAGCGCAAGTCGATGGGTATGTATTTGAAGTGTCATTTGTTGATGTGTTTCAGGCGGCTGAGATTTGACTCTACACTCAGTGAAAAAGGTGAACAACATGAAGTTGCAGAACACCGTGATGCAACTTCGAAAAGTCTGTTCTCATCCCTTCCTCTTCAACTGGCCGGCCGATCCCGATACCCATCAGCCTATATTGAACGAAGAGCTCGTCAGTGCAAGTGGCAAGATGATGATCCTAGATCGGCTGCTTGAGGAGCTGTTCCTCAGAAAGCACAAAGTGCTGCTCTTCAGCCAGTTCACCACGATGCTTGACATTATTGAGGTACGTATGTAGCGTGCTTAGCTATGGGTGAAGGTATTCAAACATAGGTGAGCTAGGATTGGGCGATTGAGCTTAAAGGATGGTCAATATGTCGCATCGACGGTTCCACGTCGATGTCCGAGCGACGAGAGGAGGTCAGCAGGTTCCAAAATGGAGGCGATGCTCCAGATGCCCCCCGTCTCTTCTTGCTCAGCACTAGAGCTGGTGGACTTGGTCTGAACCTAGTTGCGGCAGATACAGTCATATTTTATGATCAAGATTGGGTACGTCTGCTCAAATGCTCGTGACAGTACACGACATTCACATTGTTGCTAGAATCCACAAATGGACCTACAAGCACAGGACCGCGCACACCGCATTGGTCAGACAAAGCCCGTGCTAATATTTCGTCTGGTTAGCGCGCATACAATAGAGGGGAAGATCATGCAGCGAGCTAAGGAGAAACGAAAGTTGGAAGCACTTGTTATTGCCAAAGGTGCCGTGTCACTGTTACCCAGCCATTAATCTATACTCACATTCACTGTTGTCTTAGGTCAGTTCAAGTCTCCCACGTTGGCATCGGGTCGCAGCAGGCCAGAGACTATGGCCGAGATGGCAGCGGCTCTACTCAGGCTCGAGGGCGAGCAGATTCGAGTGGTCCCAGACACTGCTGTGGGGAAGGCGAGCGTCATAAGCGACCAAGAACTCGACATGCTATTGGATCGAAGTCCAGAAGTCTTCGCCGACCGAGGTAAAGGCTGGACGTCTGCTGGTAAAGTTGCAGAAGGGAAGCGGGCAGAAGCTGAGGCTGAGAGGAAGACGGCGTTCGCCGTCTACGAGACCCCCGTCGACGAGACGGCTGGCTTGTTGGCCGGCATGCTGGACGAAGATGATGAATCGTAGTCTTTATCCTAATAGATAGACGAGTATGATATATCCGGGCGGATGCTAGCGCATACTTTTGGAGGAGATATAGGTGTGTCTAAGCTTGATAACGACTTATTGCCTACCTCGTTAATACAGTATTCAAGGATCATATAGTGTATCATGAAGTTAATGTTAATTTTGTAAAAATCTCGCTTATCATCTATTGGTCAAATTTCCACGGTTCTTGCATCGCGACCTCCATGGTCAATGCGGATCATGCTGCTAGCTTACTCACGACGACCTTAATCTCTTGCTCCCATGTCTGTCCTCATCCTCCCGCCAGAGCTTATCCTCGAAGTGCTCAAACTGCTCGATTATCGAGGACTGGTATTATGTACTGGGGTATGCCCAGTGCACTGACCACCCGCTACTGAAACCTAACAATATCACGCTCAGGTGTGTAGACTATTTCGAGTGGCGATCAAAGACTCCGCCGAGCTACGGTACAAGATCGAGCTCGCTGCTGATGGGATGGCTGACGGCCCGCCGGGTATGCTGAGCATCGCCGAGCGCCTGAAGTTACTGCTCGATCGCCGTCGACGGTGGCGTATGCTCGACTGGACGACGGCGGTCCCAGTGCCCATCCCGGGCGCATGTCAGGCGTACGAGCTGGTCAGTGGTGTGTTCGCCAAGTCCATGGGAGCGGCACAGTTTGTCGGCTCGCGTCACCTTATCACTGTGAAGTTGCCGACGCGCACACAAGGGCCGACGAGACTTGTCAGGGAGGACTTAGGTGTAGCCACACGAGACTTTGCGATAGACCCATCGCAGGATATCATGGCTCTCGTGGATTCCGACGAAGGGTGAGTCTGCATAGTGTCGGAACTTCGCGTAGATAGCTGATGGACGTGCAGTTATGAGCAAGGGTTGGAACTCAAAGTCCATATTCGAACAATAAGTACGAATGAGAAGCACCCAGAGGCCAAAGGTCTCGAATTGCGCGCCCCTCTTCCGATTGAGTTGGGTTCCGCATTTACCCAAATCGTCGATGATGTCGTCGGGACCTTTTACTGGATGCACGGACCATGGCTAACTATCTGGAACTGGAAGACTGGCGAAGTCCTCGTGGTGCGTATGCTATTGGTGCATGCCCTCACTGTCTCACGTTATCTCAGTGCTGCGATATGGATGACTTGCCTCCCGGAACATGGGATTTCTCCTTCCTCTCAAACCGGGCGTTCATGTTGACCACAACTCGGGACATGGGAACGATTGAGCTATACGCTTTTGGTGGTGACACAGCCACCCGTGCTCCGGCTCATGTCGCAACACTGCAGCTCCCTCCTGTGAGACTCGGGCGTGAGTTGCAACAGTTTTCCACTCACTCTGGCCCTTTCGTGCACGCAACCACCCCCAACAAACCATTCGCAGTCTCACGAGACTCCCGGATACACTTCATGACATTGCTGTATGGTTTTCGAGCCCCGCGGTTTCACCTGTTTGTACACAATCGTTTCTTGCTCTCCTTTATTCCGACGGACTGTCGCTCTGGAAGCTCGTGGAACTATGAGATCCGGCCGTGGTACACCTGGGGTCCGGACCATACAAGACTATTATTGGAGGATAATATCTCGTTCCAGTGGCTCCGGTGCGTGCGACTGGTGTTTCATTCCTGAGTGCTGTGATAAATTTCCCTGTTTGAAGGTATGTGCATGGCCAGCGAGTTGTGCTGCCACATCTACACACCGATGTAGGCAAGGCGGAACGCACCTTGCGCGTTCTGGACTTCAATGTGCACCCAAAGCGTATCGACGATTTCACAAACGATCCTACTTTTCAGGAGAGAGCCGAAGAACTCGGGGCCAAATACCATATGAGGGCGGAACCATCCACCGTGCCCGCAGGTGCTGTATTCAAGCATGATATTGTAACCTCTCTGCCCTACTGGGAATCTCAGAGGATGGGTGCTTTCGATTACTCCGGTTTTATGATTGACGACGAAAGGATAATTGGAATGAAGGTATGTACAGCTTTAAGGTTGTAAAGATGGTGCTCATGCACCGATATCTGTTTCAGTCAAGAGCACATGCGAGCGGAGACATGACCGATGTCGATGTGTACACGTTTTGACTTTTGTACGGCTACACGCCTCTTGGACGGGGTCTATTATATCTGCGGAGATCATAGATCACGCAAACGAACTTCTGCCTCCTACATTATGCGTGAGTACTGAGTGTCGCTTGTTTAGAGCCCCTAGCAAGTAACGCTCTTGTCTCTTCAACCCTGAGTTTTTGCTAATCGTGCCATTGCAACGGCGTTGTGTCTTTCGGCTAATTGAATAACATTATACTGCTAAGCTATTCTAGTGCTAATGGCCTGGATAAGCGGCTAGAGAGCCCCCATATTAGGGTTAGGTGGTATGACATAATTGGGGCTAAGTTGGTTAGGCATTGTGGAGCATTCATCTTTCAAGCTCAATCGTATCGCCTTCCTTCCCATCTCTCAGATTTCTTCGTCAGGTCGTCTTACGAGAATATTTCAGTCGTACTCGGGGAAATTTCCACTGAACATACACAGAAAGTAATGTCGACCGAGGCTACACCATCACCCGACGTCCTCGTCTCAATCCCAGACGTCGCCGCAGTCCACATCCTCGGCGAGTCAAGCGTAGAGTTGGGCAAAGGAAACCTCACGTTGATCCTGACGGAGTCGGCAAAGCTTACTGCTCCCACAACCCCTGCACCTGACGGTGCCGGCCATACACCAGTTTTGACGTTGACTGTAGGCTCAGCCGCGTTCCCCCTGTTCACGACGACTGTCTTTGGCACGTTGGAAAACGACCTGAGAGCGTATGTGTTTACGCCAGAGATCGGCGGGGGGGGGGGGGGGGGGGGGGA